CAGAAGAACATCAGAACATCAGAAGAACATCAGAACATCAGAACATCAGAAGAACATCACAGAACATCAGAAGAACATCAGAACATCACAGAACATCAGAACATCAGAACATCAGAAGAACATCAGAGAACATCACAGAACATCAGAACATCACAGAACATCAGAACATCAGTCACATCACAGGAACATTCAGTAGAAGACCATGGTTTAGTCCTGGTTTAGACCTTCCTGGTTTAGTCCTGGTTTAGTCCTGGTTTAGACCTGGTTTAGTCCTGGTTTAGTCCTGGTTTAGTCCTGGTTTAGTCCTGGTTTAGACCTGGTTTAGACCTGGTTTAGTCCTGGTTTAGTCCTGGTTTTAGTCCTGGTTAGTCCTGGTTTAGACCTGGTTTAGACCTGGTTAGACCTGGTTTAGTCCTGGTTTAGTCCTGGTTTAGTCCTGGTTTAGACCTGGTTTAGACCTGGTTTAGTCCTGGTTTAGTCCTGGTTTAGTCCTGGTGTTACGGCCCCAGGCCTTAGTTCTAATATTTCTGCAGAGTTCTCTTGATTCCTGCTGCACGAGCCCTGGTCTGTGATTGGTGGGGCAAGTCCACGCCCACTTCACCTGCAGCCACCTCCCCCTATTTAAGGAGATGACCAGCACCTGTTCGGGGCTGCTGGCCTTGGTGGCCAGTCTGCCATATTGTTTTGTGTGTGTGTGTAGTTTTAGTTTTGTGCCTTTTTTGATTTGGTCACTCGATTCTGTTTGTGGGTTTATGTGGTTTAATTTGGGGAACTTGTGTTTTAGTTTAGTCTGTGTCCCTAAGTTTTACCACTCGTTTTTGTGTAAGTCTGCGTGACCCCTTTTCTGGCACAAAACTCAGTTTATTCTGTTGTTCTGTTTCTTAGTTTCGGTTGTTGTCTGTATATTTTTAGTGTTTTGTTAATTTACCTTTACATTCCTGTTAATTAAACATTACTTAATTTATTCCATTTTACATCTTGGTTTTATTTTTGTTACTTCCCTCACCCCAAACGAGCTGGGTCGTAACACCTGGTTTAGACCTGGTTCAGTCCTGGTTTAGACCTGGTTTAGTTTAGTTCCTGGTTTAGACCTGGTTTAGACCTGGTTTAGTCCTGTTTAGACCTGGTTAGTCCTGGTTTAGACTGTTTGGTTTAGACCTGGTTTAGTCTGGTTTACTGGTTTAGACCTGGTTTAGTCTGGTTTAGACCTGGTTTAGTCCTGGTTTAGACCTGGTTTAGACCTGGTTTAGTCCTGGTTTAGTCCTGGTTTAGTCCTGGTTTAGTCCTGGTTTAGTCCTGGTTTAGTCCTGGTTTATCCTGGTTTAGTCCTGGTTTAGACCTGGTTTTAGTCCTGGTTTAGTCCTGGTTTAGTCCTGGTTCAGTCCTGGTTTAGACCTGGTTCAGTCCTGGTTTAGTCCTGGTTTAGTCCTGGTTTAGTCCTGGTTTAGTCCTGGTTTAGTCCTGGTTCAGTCCTGGTTTAGACCTGGTTTAGTCCTAGTCCTGGTTTAGTCCTGGTTTAGTCCTGTTTTAGTCCTGGTTTAGTCCTGGTTCAGTCCTGGTTTAGACCTGGTTCAGTCCTGGTTTAGTCCTGGTTTAGTCCTGGTTTAGACCTGGTTTAGTCCTGGTTTAGTCCTGGTTTAGTCCTGGTTTAGTCCTGGTTCAGTCCTGGTTTAGACCTGGTTTAGTCCTGGTTTAGACCTGGTTTAGTCCTGGTTTAGTCCTGGTTTAGTCCTGGTTCAGTCCTGGTTTAGACCTGGTTCAGTCCTGGTTTAGTCCTGGTTTAGTCCTGGTTTAGTCCTGGTTTAGTCCTGGTTTAGTCCTGGTTTAGACCTGGTTCAGTCCTGGTTTAGTTCCTGGTTTAGTCCTGGTTTAGTCCTGGTTTAGACCTGGTTTAGTCCTGGTTTAGTCCTGGTTTAGTCCTGGTTTAGTCCTGGTTAGTCCTGGTTTAGTCCTGGTTTAGTCCTGGTTCAGTCCTGGTTTAGACCTGGTTTAGTCCTGGTTTAGTCCTGGTTTAGTCCTGGTTTAGTCCTGGTTAGGTCCTGGTTTAGTCCTGGTTTAGTCCTGGTTAGTCCTGGTTAGTCCTGGTTTAGTCTGGTTTAGTCCTGGTTTAGTCCCTGGTTTAGTCCTGGTTTAGTCCTGGTTTAGTCCTGGTTTAGTCCTGGTTTAGTCCTGGTTCAGTCCTGGTTTAGTCCTGGTTCAGTCCTGGTTTAGTCCTGGTTTAGTCCTGGTTTAGTCCTGGTTTAGTCCTGGTTTAGTCCTGGTTTAGACCTGGTTTAGTCCTGGTTTAGTCCTGGTTTAGTCCTGGTTTAGTCCTCCTGGTTTAGTCCTGGTTTAGTCCTGGTTTAGTCCTGGTTTGGTTAGTCCTGGTTTCCTAGACCTGTTCAGTCCTGGTTTAGTTCTGGTTTAGTTCTGGTTTAGTCCTGTTTAGACCTGGTTTAGTCCTGGTGGTTTGTCCTGGTTTAGTCCTGGTTTAGTCCTGGTTCAGTCCTGGTTTAGTCCTGGTTCAGTCCTGGTTTAGTCCTGGTTTAGTCCTGGTTTAGTCCTGGTTTAGTCCTGGTTCAGTCCTGGTTCAGTCCTGGTTTAGTCCTGGTTTAGTCCTGGTTAGTCCTGGTTTAGTCCTGGTTTAGTCCTGGTTTAGTCCTGGTTTAGTCCTGGTTCAGTACCGGTTTGAGCAGGATGAAGGTCTGGGCGAGCAGGTTGCTGAGGAAGTGGTCGTGGGAAAGTCTGATGCTCTCGAAATCTCGAGTCGAGTTGATCTGAGTCAGAAGCTGCGAGAACTGAGACTCCAACACGTCCACCTGAAAGTACAAGTACTGCATCAAGTACTGCATCAAGTACTGCATCAAGTACTGCATCAAGTACTGCATCAAGTACCTCAGTAGTAGTAATAGTAGTAGCACCTGTAGGTAGTACTGTAGTAGTAGTAGTTGTAGTACCTGTAGGTAGTACTGTAGTAGTACTAGTAGTACCTGTAGGTAGTACTGTAGTAGTACCTGTAGGTAGTACTGTAGTAGTACCTGTAGGTAGTACTGTAGTAGTAGTAGTAGTAGTACCTGTAGGTAGTACTGTAGTAGTACTAGTAGTACCTGTAGGTAGTACTGTAGTAGTACCTGTAGGTAGTACTGTAGTAGTACCTGTAGGTAGTACTGTAGTAGTACCTGTAGGTAGTACTGTAGTAGTACCTGTAGGTAGTACTGTAGTAGTACTGTAGTATACTGTAGTAGTAGTAGTAGCACCTGTAGGTGGTACTGTAGTAGTAGTAGTTGTAGAACCTGTAGGTAGTACTGTAGTAGTACCTGTAGGTAGTACTGTAGTAGTAGTAGTACTTGTAGGTAGTACTGTAGTAGTAGTAGTAGTAGTAGTAGTAGTAGTACCTGTAGTAGTAGTAGTAGTACCTGTAGTAGTAGTAGTAGTAGTAGTACCTGTAGTAGTAGTAGTAGTCAATCAATCAATCAATCAAACTTTATTTGTATAGCACTTTTCATATATTTGAAATGTAGCACAAAGTGCTTCACATGCAACAGAAACATTTTTAATACATTAATTAACCCCCCCCCCCCCATACCACAATTTAAACAGAAACATAAAAACTAAAAAACTAATAAACATAAAGCTCTTAAAAGTTATAGTAAAAATTAAAAGTGTATAGCTAAGACCAGATGGAGACAAAATAAAATAGTAATGATAATTTAATTTAAAACTACCATAATAATAACAATAATAATGATAATTTAAGTTAAAACAGGTAAAAGTTTCAGTTAAAAGCTAAATTAAAAAGATATGTTTTAAGTTTACTTTTAAAAATATGAACACTCGCAGCGGACCTCAGATCCTCAGGTCAGACTGTTCCACAGACGGGGGCCGTAAAAGCTAAAAGACGCCTCACCGTGAGTTTTAGTCTGGACTCTTGGGACAGTTAAAAGACGAGACCTGAGGACCTGAGAGTCCGAGAGGGCTCATATGATAAAAGCAGATCAGATAAATAAAATAGGACTAAGACCATTAAGAGCTTTATAAACCAATAAAAGAACTTTAAAATCTATCCTGAAGCTCACAGGAGCCAGTGCAGAGACTTCAGTACTGGGGTGATGTGCTCTCGCTTCCCTGGTCCTCGTCAGCAGCTGCAGAGTTTTGGAGGAGCTGCAATGGAGCTGTAGATTTCTTTGGAAGACCAGAAAGGAGAACATTACAGTAATCAACGCGATTTGTAATAAAAGCATGTATTTAAGTCTCTGCACTGGCTTGAGAAAGAAAAGGTCTGACTCTGGCAATATTTTTTAGATGATAAAAACCAGATTTAGTGATGGACCTGATGTGTGGCTCAAAGCTAAGCTCACTGTCAAGAATAACTCCTAAACTCTTGACCCTCTCACAGGGTTCAGTGAGGAGGTTTGGAGCTCAGCTTTGAGTCTCTCTCTCTGAGCTTCAGGACCAATAATTAAAACCTCAGTTTTGCCCTGGTTGAGCTGGAGGAAGTTTGCTGCCATCCAGGACTTAATATCTAAAATGCAGTTAAAAAGGGCATCGATCAGGCTCAGGTCATCAGGAGACACGGTGATATAGAGCTGGTATCATCAGCGTAGCTATGAAAGTTAACACCGTGTCTCCTGATGACCTGTCCTAGTGGCAGCATGTAAAGGTTAAAAAGGGTTGGACCTAAAATTGAGCCTTGGGGAACACCATACTCCATTTTACATTTTGCGGAGGAGTGTTCCCCAAGACTAACATAAAAATCCCTGTTTGTTAAAAATGATTTGAACCAGTTAAAAACAGATCCAGAGAGACCGACTGCATAATGTATCTATCTAATAAAATCCAGTGGTCGACAGTGTCAAATGCTGCCGTGAGATCCAACAGCACCAGGACTGACAGGTTTTTCTTGTCTAAGTTGGATCTTATATCATTAAGAATCTTTAATAATGCAGTCTCTGTGCTATGCTGAACTCTAAAGCCAGATTGATAAATTTCAAAAATATTGTTAGAAATCATAAAATCACTAACCTGGTTAAAAACAATTTTTTCTAAAATTTTGCTTAAAAACGGCAGATTTGACACAGGTCTGTAATTACTGAGCAGGGAGGAGTCCAAGTTATCCTTTTTAAGCAGAGGTTTGACCATGGCAGTTTTAAGTGCTGTAGGAAAAACCCCTGTCTGCAGCGAAAAATTTACAATGTTAAGAACTTCTTGGGCTAAAAAATTTAAAACTGATTTAAAAAGCGATGTAGGAATAGGATCTAAAAAACAGGTGGCTGGTTTTAATTGTAAAATAATTTTGTTAAGAGTCGTAGCATCAACCAGGGCAAAACTATCAAGTGTGTTTGATAAAACCAAAGGACTTGTATTACAGACAATGCCTGGTTGGATCTGTTGCAGGTCAGCTCTAATCGACTGAATTTTACTGCTGAAATAGGTCAGAAAATCCTCACAGTTTGGCATGTTGGCTGGTTCATTCCAGTTACAAACAGGGTCGATAACGGAACTAATAGTGGAAAATAGCATCCTAGGATTATTTATGTTGTTATGTATGAGTTGAGAGAGATATGCTTGTCTTTCACATTTAATGCTATTGTTGTATTTTCTCATATGTTCACGATAAATTTCATAGTTTATTGTAATTTTATTCTTGCGCCATTTTCTTTCTGCTTTCCTACAATTTTGCTTTAGTTGTCTTGTTTTTTCATTTATCCAAGGAGACTTTTTTGTCTTCACATTTTTCACTTTTAGCGGTGCTACAGCATCAAGAGCAGATTTTAGTTTATTATTAAAATATTCTACAATATGATCGCATGAAGATGGTAAAATAGGGGTTGGAGTGTTGTTTAGTATTTCTGTAAAGTTTGTTGTAACTTCAGCAGTAATGCAGCGTTTTCTGACAATGCATTCAGATATGGGGGGTTGCTCAATTGTTATATTAAAAAATACACAGGCATGGTCTGAAAATCCCACGTCCACAACAGAGGCCAATGTTTACTGATATTCCATAGGAAATTACTAAATCTAATATACGGCCTCTGTTGTGGGTGGGCTGTGAAACATTTTGTTTAAAATTCATACAGTTTAAAAGGTTTAAAAACTCTGTTGCTAGTGAGTCTGATTTGATATCAATGTGTAAATTAAAATCACCTACAATTATAATTCTATTGTAATTTGAATGAGCAATGGACAGGAGGTCTGAGAAATCTGCCATGAAAGAGGAGGAATGTTTGGGCGGGCGGTAAATACATATAAAGAGAATGGAGGGGTTTGTTAAGGCCAAGGAGTGATGCTCAAATGAAGGGTATTGATTAAAATAAATATTTTTGAAATTATGTTTGGCACAAAAGATTGTAGCTGTACCACCACCTCTTTTATCAAGGCGAGAGGAATATGAATAGCTATAATTAGGAGGTGTGGTTTCGTTTAGTGTTACGGCTCCATCTGTGCCTGTCCATGTCTCTGTTAAAAACATACAATCAAGAGGCCGATCTACAATCATGTCATTAATTATAAAGGATTTATTTGCCAAAGATCTAACGTTTAAAAGTCCCATATTAAAAGTCAGTGGTGCTTTTTTCATTGTATTAACATGAGCAATTAAAATATTATTCCGATTGATAGATCTAGGTTTCATATGTTTCTTGGTTTGATAAGGTCTAGTTATATGGACTGGGATATCATGTATACGTGTAAATGATCCGGCTAGCAGAGGTGGTGATCCAGCTGGCGTTGGTGGTGATAGAGTTAGCAGAGGTGGTGACCCAGCCCGTTCAGTTTGGTGCTGTTCCAATGGCGACAGGGAGGGGGAGCTAATCTGAGACCAGCAGTGCGTTGGAAGGTCTGAGGATGAGGTAGCTGGGCGGGGTGTGGGTGTGTAGGAAGTAAACAGTCATTCACGTGCGGGTACAGTAGCGGGCACACTTACCAGGTTGTGGACAGCGTAGACCATGTAGTTTTTAAGCAGACGGCTTCCGCGTCTATTTAGGTGTAAGCCGTCTACCCTGTAGTGTGAGGGGCGGTCCCAGAACAGATTAAAATTGTCAATGAAGTTGATGAGGTGGGACCTGCAGACGGAGCTGAGCAGCTGTTTAAATGAAGGGTCCTATCGAGTCGCTCAGCTCCGTGATACAGAGTGGGAATGGGACCAGAGATGAACACGGATATGCCTTGAGTAGTCCACGGTTTCAGAACATTGAAAAGATCCTCAAAATCCCTTTTTGTGTTCTCTAATTTCTCACGTGACATGTCATTTGTCCCCACATGAACTATGATTCTATAGATTGTAGAGGGCATGGATTGGAGCAGGTCAGGAAGTTTGCTCACAATCTGAGACACCGTGGCTCCAGGAAAACAGTGTGTAATGGCATTAAAATAGCGAACATGCCGGATTATTGAATCGCCGATGATAATTGTTTTGGGGGGAAACAGTGGCTGTGGCTGAAGACCAGTTTGTGGGCCTGTGAGGTGTGGATCATCACCGTGTGAAGAGGACCGAGAGGAGACGGGGGCCTCGGAGTGAGGAGCCGGGCCAGGTACCGACCCATCGGCAGTGCACTCCTGCTCCAGAGGCGCCTCCTCGGCCAGGGGCACCGGTCGCGCCGCAGCTTGTCGTAACCGTGGATCCACCGGAGGCCTCAGAGGATTCTTAGACAAGATCCCCGGTTGGGCAGCAGCTTGTTGTAGCCGTGGCTCCACCGGTGACCTCATCGCCATCGGCTGTGCCGCGGTTTGGGACCGTGATACCACCGAAGGCGGAGAATGTGCGCGCAGCGAGGAGTGGAGCGGCAGAGCCGGGGCAGCAACCTGAGAACCACCGGATCGTCTCAAAACAGCCTCTTTTAAGATTTTTTCGTCTGGATGATGATTTAGCGCGCTGTACGGTTGACTTGTGGGGACTTATGGACTGAGAGGACAGGGGAGCAGTGGCCACTGGATATACCGGAGCATCGTTTGTAGTAGCCTGAAGTGGGCTTGCGTCCCTTGAGACTGGGACCTTACTGTGGAGAGCGGGGAAATCGGTAGAAGAGTCCAGATTGGGGGGTGCCTGAACCGGAGCGGGAGAAGCAGGTGAGTCCGATGTCAGCACAGAGAAACGGTTTGTAAGGTTAAGTCGGAGGGGGATTTCAGATGTACGACTTCTGTCGTTATTACATAATACGGAAGCATCGCGAGGCAACGGGGAATGCGGGGTTGAGCAGGTGGGACGGGACGTGGCCTGTGGGTCCCATACTATTGTGTCCATGAGGGCGCTGTTGAGTAAGGCTATGCGTTTATGTTGTCCTGTGGCAACATCCATTAGTTTAGCGATTATTTCATCCTTTTCCTTAAGTTCAGTGGATAGTCGCTGGATCTGTGCTTCTAGATGTGTGAATGTTTTGCCATCGTTGTCTGGATTTAAGGGGGATTGTCTTTCTCCCGGTGCCATGGCTGACAGTGGTAGGCCACTCGGCCTTAGGATTTCAAAACGAGCCAATAGAGCGTCTTAAGAGTGATAAAATAGCTTGGTATGCTATAAAAACTGCTTAGTAATTGTAGTAATCCAATATATGCAAAAAACTCCAGGCAGATTAGTCCAGATGATAGTTTGTAACAGACAGATGTGAGGCCTGCTCAGACAGTTCGACAGTAGTAGTAGTAGTAGTAGTAGTACCTGTAGGTAGTACTGCAGTAGTACCTGTAGGTAGTACTGCAGTAGTAGTAGTAGTAGTAGTAGTACCTGTAGGTAGTACTGTAGTAGTAGTAGTAGTAGTAGTAGTAGTAGTAGTAGTAGTAGTAGTAGTAGTAGTAGTAGTAGTACCTGTAGGTAGTACTGTAGTAGTAGTAGTAGTAGTAGTACCTGTAGGTAGTACTGTAGTAGTAGTAGTAGTAGTACCTGTAGGTAGTACTGTAGTAGTAGTAGTAGTAGTACCTGTAGGTAGTACTGTAGTTGTAGTAGTAGTAGTAGTAGTAGTAGTAGTAGTAGTAGTAGTAGTAGTAGTAGTAGTACCTGTAGGTAGTACTGTGGTAGTAGTAGTACCTGTAGGTAGTACTGTAGTAGTAGTAGTAGTAGTAGTAGTACCTGTAGGTAGTACTGCAGGTTGTCGATGAGAAAGGCCATGTGGTTCCGGAGTCTCCATTGGGGGGCGTCGGTTTGACTCGACTTCAGGTTTTTCCTCTGCATCTGCAACACAAGTACTGCATTTAACCTGAGTATTGCAGTATCTGTAGTACTCATTTAACCTGAGTACTGCAGTATCTGAAGTAGTTGTAAAAGATTTCAGTTTGTCCAAAGGTGGAAGTAAAAGTTTAAAGACCAACTGGACGAAATAAGCAGGAGAAATTTATTTACATCAATAAAACTGGAAAAGTGAACAGTGTTGATTTCAGAGTGAGCGGTGTTGATTTCAAAAGTGAACACTGTTAATTTCAACAGTGAACAGTGTTGATTTCAGAGTGAACAGTGTTGATTTCAGAGTGAACACAGTGTTGATTTCAGAGTGAACAGTGTTGATTTCAAAAGTGAACACTGTTGATTTCAAAAGTGAACACTGTTGATTTCAAAAGTGAACACTGTTGATTTCAAAAGTGAACACTGTTGATTTCAGAGTGAGCGGTGCTGATTTCAAAAGTGAACACTGTTAATTTCAACAGTGAACAGTGTTGAGTTCAGAGTGAACACAGTGTTGATTTCAGAGTGAACAGTGTTGATTTCAAAAGTGAACACTGTTGATTTCAAAAGTGAACACTGTTGATTTCAAAAGTGAATACTGTTGATTTCAAAAGTGAATACTGTTGATTTCAAAAGTGAACACTGTTGATTTCAGATTGAACAGTGCTGACTTCAGAGTGAACACTGTTGATTTCAGAGTGAACACTGTTGATTTCAAAAGTGAACTGTGTTGATTTCAGAGTGAACACTGTTGATTTCAAAAATGAACAGTGTTGATTTCAGAGTGAACACTGTTGATTTCAAAAGTGAACAGTGTGGATTTCAGAGTGAACAGTGTTGATTTCAAAAGTAAACAGTATGATTTCAGAGTGAACA